CACCTGTAGCGCGGGCGGCAGGAGGTTTTTGCGCTTAGCGGATGTGATATTCGTCATCTGGGGGTCAAACCACCCCTGGGAGCAAGTTTTCAGCGAATCTGGTGATTTCGACTATTTTGGCGCCGGCGCCCGTGGCGCGGGCGCCAAGAGGTTTCGGGTCGAGCGGATGCGATATTCGTGTTCAGCGGGTCGAACTACCTCTGGAGATAAGTTTTCAGCAAATTCTGCCCACGGAGAAAAAAGTCGGTCAGGAACTGGCCTGATTTCGGATGACTGGGGCAGTAAAGGGTAAATAGTGCCAAAATTTTTTTGATTGGTTGCATAGTATTTGTTTGGCGTTCGCTGAAAAAACATCAAAAGGAACATTTTCGTCATATTTTACCTTTTTATTTCCGCAAAGGGAAAAACGCATCGCAAGCTCACTAAAAGTTATGTGCTGTTTATGGTGACGAAGCCTCAAAAGAACGACAGTGTCAAAAGTGGTTTGCCAAATTCGTTCTGGTGATTTTTTGCAGATGAAGAACGCTCTGGTCGTCCAGTTGAAGCTGATGACAACCTTATCAAAGCAATAATCGATTTGGATCGTCACAGTACAACACGTGAGATCGCAGAGAAGCTCCATGTATCACATACATGCTTTGAAAATCACTTAAAACAGCTTGGCTATGTTCAAAAACTTGATACATGGGTTCCACATGAACTGAAAGATACGCATTTAACGCACGCATTAACAACTGCGATTTGCTGAAGAAACGTAACGAAAATGACCCATTTTCGAAACGACTGATAACTGGCGATGAAAAATGGGTTGTTCACAACAATATAACGGTAAAGATTGTGGAGCAAGGTGAACCAGCTCAAACAACATCAAAAGCTGATAATCAAAAAAGGTTTGTTATCAGTTTGGCAGGATTACAAAGAATTGTCTACATTGAACTTACCACCCAACCGAACGATCAATTCTGATGTGTACATTGAACAACTAACGAAATTAAACAATGCTGTTGAAGAAAAGGGGCCCGAATTGACAAATCGAAAAGGTAAGGTATTCCATCATGATAATGCAAGGCCACACACATCTTTGGCCACTTGGCCAAAATTATTGGAGCTTGGTTGGGATGCTTTGCCACTTCCACCATATAGTCCTGACCTTGCACCATCAGATTACTTTTTGTTTCGTTCTTTACAAAACTCCTTGAGTGGTAAAAATTTCAGTAATAATGATGATGTCAAATCGCACCTGATTTTTTTTGCTAATAAAAATCGGAAGTTTATGGACGTGGGATTATGATGCTGCCTGAACGATGGCAAAAAGTCAATAAGAATGGGCAATACATTATAGAATAAAGTTATTTCGTTCCATGGAAGAATTGCCATTGATATTCTAAAAAAGTCCGCAATTACTTAATTGCCAACCCAATAGTTCAGTGCAATGGGCCATTCCGTAAACTGCTGTAAACATACCGATCTGTTCTGCAGACTCCTATATAGACTCCGAGGTAACTAAAAAGCTTCATACTCTAAACGATAAATAGTTCCTGCTCAAACGAGTTGGTTCACCCGCTCCGCTCCTCCGTCCTCTGTTGAGCACCCGCTCCGCTCTTCCGTCCTCTGTTGAGGACTAAGCAAAAATCTCTCCCTTTTGGCTAGTGATTTGCCACCATTTCTTCGGACCTTCCAGCACTGAACGCCGTCCATTTGGTAAAACTGTGTGATTGTGAAACTCGTAACACTTCAAAAGCTTACAAAAATTACAGAATTGCACAAAAAAAGCCCCGTATATCCTAGGGAATATAGAGGAGCGTGTCAGGGGGGGGGGCAAGAAAAAAAACACTTTTCTTCCTTGATTTTCAAGGCGCTATGAGTTACACTTAGTTACTTTATTAAATTCTGATCGTCATTTCCACCACCACATTCAAGAGAATATTGTATACTATTATTGTACTTCGCCACAGCCTGCTGGACGAGCGCCATCGAGAGATTCTGCCACGCGACTATGATTCGGTACCTGTGTTCAGCGAGATCCGCCACTGTAGACCATCTTGTTGAGCTCTGCCTGAACCCGGTAATTGAGGTAATTAGGTCAGGTCAGGTGACACACTGAGATATTTCGGCTTCTTCAGGTACTCAACGCCCTTCCATTCCAAATAGGCACTCTATTCCATTCCAAGCGTTCCATTCCATTCCAAGAGTTTTTCCAACGCCCTTCGTTCCATGAGGAGGCATCCATTTACGTAGCAGTACGAATTTTCTAAGAAGGTACAGGCGATGACATGGAAACAGGATATTCCCCTCGAGTTGGTCGATTTAACCATTAGCGTTCTTTCAGTCCGGGGTCCACGAAGAGAATATCGGTCTTCATATTCCAGGAACTTGCGATCCATACAACCAATCCGCGCCTTGGCGACTGCGGTGAAGATGATATCCTGGACCGCAGCGACGTTGTCGGAGCTGCTCGATGTTGCAGGTCTTCCAGATGAGAGTACCGGTCTCCAGGTAGCTTCCATGGGTGGCTCCATACAAGAAGTTTCGCAGCTGTTTGGAGGTGACGTGAATTCCAAAGGCCTCCAGTAAGGCTGCGACTGGAGATGACTTCATATTTTGGTGTATATAAGGGTGATGGGCGAGAGCCAGCTCCTGCTTATCGAGGATCATCTTGGGTATCTTCCGCCCTGGTACTCGTATCCACGTCCTCTGTCCGGGCTGCGAAACTTTGCTGATATGTGACTTGGCCGAAGTGTTTTTTGCCCCCCTCACTGAACTAGGAACTTCACTTGTGATGCTAATGCAGAGTCAAACATCCACAGTCAAGATTATAAGAAAAGATATGTGATGTACTTATATACGGGGGGAGCAAAAAAAGTCACTTCGACCGAGTCACATATCAGCAAACTTTTCGCTGCCCAGAGAGAAGACGTGGATGCGAGTACCAGGGCGAAAGATACCCAAGATGTTCCTCGATAAGCACGAGCTGGCCCTCGCCCATCACCTTCATGTACCCCAAAATATGAATCATCTCCAGTCACATCCTGACTGGAGGAGACCTTTGGAATTCTCTTCACCTCCAAACAGCTGCGAAACTTCTTGTATGTATGTACCCATGTCACCAGTACTTTCGTGTCTGATGACCTTCAACATCGAGCAGCTCCGACAACGTCGGCCACGGTCTAGGACATCATCTTCACCACAGTCCTCAAGGCGCGCGTTTGAGTGGTAAATGGACCGGATGTACCTGAGATGGAAAAGACTAATATTTTCCTTCGTGGACCCCGGACATAAGGTGAAGCACTGGCGGTCACATTGAGCAACTCGTAAGGGATATCTTCCTCACATGTCGTCGTCCGTACCTTCTTGGAAACTTTATAGTGCTACAACATTGGTGCCACCACAGTGGAATCGAAGGGCATTGGAGAAACTCTCGCCTACTTCTAATGGAAGGGGGCTGAGTACTTAAAGAAGACGGAATATCCGAGTAGGTCACCTGGCCTGGATCGCTTCAATTACCCGGTTCGCGGAGTTCAATAGAGTGGTCTACAGTGGCGGAGAGAAACCGACCATCTCGCTGATCTCAGACCCACTCGGTCGCGTGCCAGAATCTCTCGATGGCGCTTCGTCAGAAGGGTGTGGCAGAGTGTCATGGATACTATTCAATATGATCTTTAATATGGTGATGAAAATGTTCGATCAGAGTTTAATAAGGTGTTACTTATAGCGCCTCGAAAGTCAATGAAGAAAAGTGGCTTTTTTTGCCCCCCCCTGTATTTGGTCGCTTATCCTGGTAGAATAGATAGCAATGAAATAAAACCGTAGACAACAGCGATTCGCTGAACACTTGAGTAATGTTGGGCACTCAGTGACGGCAGCTAGGTATCGAGGTGTTCGTGGAGGCTCCGCGAATATTTTAATCATTCACTTGAAGAAGTGAAGAAAAATGCGGTTACAGATAATAGGAAGGAATATGTCCATAGAACAAGCTTGAGTGGTGTAAGTCGTTAGATTTCCCCTCTTGTGGCATTGACTGAAATTACTTAAAAAAAAATGGCAGTGTCCTTCTTCTTCTATCTTCTTCTTCTTCTTCTTCTTTCTTCTTCTTCTTCTCTTCTTCTTTCTTCTTCTTCTTTTTCTTCTTCTTCTTACTTCTTCTTCCTTCTTCTTCTTTTCTGTCTCTTTCTTCTTCTTCTTCTTCTTCTTTACTTCTTCTTCTTCCTTCTTCCTTCTTCTTCTTTTCTCTTCTTCTTCTTCTTCTTCTTCTTCTTCTTTCTTCTTCTTCTTCTTCTTCTTTCTTCTTCTTCCTTCTTCTTCTTCTTCTTCTTCTTCTTCTTCTTCTTCTTCTTCTTCTCTTCTTCTTCTTCTTCTTTCTTTCTCTTCTTCTTTTTCTTCTTCTTTTCTTCTTCTTTTTCTTCTTCTTCTTCTTACTTCTTCTTCTTCTTCTTCTTCTTCTCTTCTTCTCATTCTTCATTCTTAATCTTCTTTTTTACTCTTTTGGGCTGCTCAATTAATGAATGCCGGAAATCATCGAAGTGGCTGTCGTCCATGATGTTAAGGACACATGGTACGCTTAAACACATTAAGGGTTATGAGACTATCAGCCCGCCCAGCTGTCGATGTCCGTGGCTCCCCCGCCCAAAACTGCCACAGGGTCAGAGTAGAGTCGCGTGGGAAAGTCGTAATTCCTTGCTACAGCCGCCCTCACGTTTCATGCTAACACCATCCGCGCAGCTGCGCGGTCGCGTGCAGCTCTCTTGGCTTTTCGCCAGGTCCTGTAATTGCGCTTGTGGAATACAAGTACAAACGCAGTTTCTTTATTCGGTGAACATTTTAGGTGGCTGCAAATAAGAACCGAAGATGATGACAAGGGCTAGAATTTCAAGAGCCTGTGCTGCTTCTGCAAATATCCCTCAGAGGCCGCGCATTCCCACAGAACATGACAATAAAAACGGACAAGATGATATAAAACATGGCAATTACAAGCAAAACACAATTTCCTAACGGTTTGAGGTATTGATCATGCTTCAAAGTCCGAATAGAAGGTGTTAAGATGACAAAAGGCTAGAAATGAAACAACAACGAATGTAGAGTAAATAAACAAAATTGAAAAAACTAGAGAAACGCAATAAATTAAAAGTCGCGTGTGCATTTCTGCGATGCCGGCTCGAATCCTGGCTCTCCTGCTGTAAAAATACTTGAAACTAACGAGTGGGACGCTTAGGCCGTTTTTATTTTTGATGTTTTGTGGGAATGCGCGCCTGCGAGGCCTGTTGCAGAAGCAGCCACAGTTCTCTTGAGTTCTAGCCCTCGTCATCATCTTCAGTTCTTACATTGCAGAACCTAAAATGTTATCCGCATAAAGAAATTGCGTTGTAATTGTATTCTAAAGCGCAATTACAGGACTTGGCAGAAAGCCAAGAGAGCTGCACGCGACCGCGCCGCGCGCACGGTGTTAGTAAAAACGTCAGTTTGCAAAAACGGGCGGCGTAGCAAGGAATTCCGACTTTCCCACGGCCCCGTACTCTGACCCCGTGCAGTTTTGGGCGGGGAGACCACGACACATCGACAGCTGGGGGCTGATAGTCTCATACACCCTCAATGTGTTTGAGTGTACCATGTGTCTTTAAGTAAACTACCTGACTACTGGAATAAAAAGCGCAACCGTTTCTCGGTATGCGTCATGAGCTCAGATAAAGCGCTCCGTTGTTCTTTGCGTCTCCGTTTTTGAAACATTATATTTCTGTTCTACTCTCGATACCAGCGAAAGACGCACTCAGCTGTGGATAACCAGAAGTGAGAGGGCGCAGATAGGTTGCGGATTCGGCTATAGTTATGCATGTGGTTGGCCGTGTGGCGGGCGGAGTATGGGGACGGCGCGCGGGCATCACCCTTGCCATCTTCGGGCACTTTTGACGGGAGAATATGGCACGCTCTGCGGCTGCTGAAGAATTTTTCCCACACACGGCGATTACCAGGACCCACGGAGGTGGGGTACAGTTTGTCTTTGAGTAGCATTTACACTCAAAAAATGAGAGGAATATGCAGATCAAACTCGCGACGGAGAGTGACCAAGGGAAACCCTTGCAGGGAACTGAGATTACTTTGGTCCAATGAACTAGTGCCCTCATGGAAATACACTACCGGTTAAGTAAATTGCATCAAAAAGCATCCTATCTTGTGAAATTGAATTTTTTCTCCCGACATGAGCACTTTTTGGCGCCCCTGGGTTTGTGAACCCTTACTGGTCGACCGGTATGGTCACTTTCATCAGTGGCGATACGGGCGTTTTTGAAACTGTGATGGGAAGTCGTTCCTTAACTCAGCGAAGTACATACTTCCTCACCAACGTCGATACTGCATTTTTTAGGGGATATACGTAAAGCAACTATCCGAACCCCTTTCAATCAAGTTATTGTTCACTATAACCATTGAACTTTCTAGAGTGAAAATATCCTTAAGTATACCACTGAGTCTTCCTTATATTCATGTTATTCAGGATTTCTAGAATTTTCCTGAGTTAAAAAAAGCGCAAACAAATTTGTCGAAAAGCTGTTCCCTAACCTTATGGCTGGGTGAATGATTACGATGATGGCGAAAGACTGAATGGTAAGTATCTCAGCGAAATAAACGACAGCAGCACATTTTCTGTTATTGTAAACCAGTCAGATCGCCCGTCTGACCTGATACAGCTGTAGTGATTGAATCGTAACAGAAAGAGCAACCCTGCGGATCTTGCACCATTAACACACGCTTATATTTGCAGGAGGGGTGCAGTCCGCGCCATAACGCCCATAAAATACAAAACATAGATCTGTAGATACACAGGGGGGCAAAAAAAAGTCACTTTGACCGAGTCACATTTCAGCAAAGTTTTAGCTGCCCAGACAGAGGACGTGGATACGAGTACCAGGGCGGGAGATACCCAAGATGTTCCTCAATAAGCAGGAGCTGGCTCTCGCCCATCACCTTCATGTACCCAATATGAGGTCATCTCCAGTCGCAGCCTGACTGGAGAAGATCTTTGGAATTCACGTCGCCTCTAAACAACTGCGAAACTTCTGGGATGGAGTCACCCATGGATAGCTACTTGGAGACCAGTACTCTCGACCTGGATGACCTCCAGCATCGAGCAGCTCCGACAACGTCGCCATGGTCTAGGACATCATCTTCACCCTAGTCGTCAAGGCGCGGGTTGATGGCATGGACTTTACGTACCTGGAATGGGAAGACCAATATTTCCTTCGTGGACCCCGGACGTAAGGTGAGCACTGGCGGTCACATTGAGCAACTCGTAAAGGATATCTTCCTCACATGTCGTCGTCCGTACCTTCTTGGAAACTTTGTACTGCTACAGCATTGGGTGTCACCACATGGAATCGTAGGGCATTGTAGAAACTCTCGCCTACTCGGAATGGAACGGGGCTGAGTACCTAAAGAAGATAGAACATCTGAGTAGGTTATCTGGCCTGAATCCCTTTAATTACCCGGTTCGCGGAGTTCAATAGAGTGGTCTGCTTTGGCGGAGAAATCGACTATCTCGCTGATCTCAGACACCACTCGGTCGCGTGCCAGAATCTCTCGATGGCGCTCGAGCAGAAGGTTGTGGCGGAGTGTAGTGATACTATTTGATAAGTCTTCAATGTGGTGGTGGAAATGTCCGATCAGAATTTAATAAAGTGTAACTTGTAGCGAATCGAAAGTCAATAAAGAAAAGTGACTTTTTTTGCCCCTCCCCCCTGTAGACACAAAGTCGGCCGGAACAGCGGAATTTGAGTATATATATATATAGAGGCAGTCGATGGTCCAGATCACGATTCGGACACTTATTTTTGGCGTCGACATAATCTGGCGCCAGAATAGCCCTGAAATTCCCTCAAATGAGTGTACATAACGCGTTACGTGGAAGAAAGATTTGGCTTCAAATTAGCGATAAATGGCACCGCAGCTGAAGGTAAGTGCCATAGTTGTGATAAGGGCACTGAATAACGTATAAAGAGCAATTTTTGGGGAAGCTTTTGCTTAATGATATGTGAGAATTGAATTTGTTGAATAGCAGCGACTCATGGGGTAGAACTATTTAGAATGTGTCATAAATGTTCACGTAAGCGAGAGCAGTGAAACATAAAAAATGCAAAAACTCGCAAGCCGAGGAGAACCAAACCATCCCCCACCCTCACTGCCCGATTGAGAAGCCTTCCCGCCATCCACTACGCCATCCGGTCGTTACAGATGAACAGCGCTCCGATCGTTGAGGAAACCATTCCGACGAGCTGCTCAAAGCCGCTCTCTCTTAATCACATGCCACAAGTAAGAAGCCGCTTGCGAATATTTTCTGATTCTAATAGCACCTTTATAAGGCCCCCTACTCAGCAACTGATCGAAGTTGCAAGTGATGTAGAGCTTACAGAGGCTCGAAAACCACCGGTTTCCATAGGTTTCTTTTTCACTCCTTTCTTGGTATTTCCAGAGCTGCGTAGGAAAAATGAACATCAGTTTGGTATTCCATGCACGTGACCCTACCTCGGTAAAAAACCGTTTTGAAAAAGCGCTCCACGTCCTGAACGACCTCCCTGGTTAGAATCAACTTCCTACAGCTACTGGGACGGTCGCTATGAATTTCGTGACACACACACGCAGACATACTTAGCGGATTATATATAGCAGGATGATCAGAGTCAAAGATTTTGCACAAACCTGTTGTGGAGGGAAACTCCGTGGAGGATGGTTGCCCACCATGAACCGTCTTTCCTCCCCTAGGTTTAAACGACGAAATCGTTGGTGATGCGAAGTGCAAACGCATCCCAGTTTTTCTTTTTTAATATATGTTTGCAGTACTAATAGTCACTGTCGTAAAGAATGTAACATATTGAGTGTACATGGAGTATGTTGTCGAAGACTTTCTTTTCATGACATGCATATCATTTGTTGTGTTCAAGTTCGTCATCGAGTGAAGATCATTCTGGAACTTCTAAGTGATGAAGATAAACTCCGAGCTCAGAGGAAGAAGATGAAATCTGATAACGGAGTGCGCTACCAAGGCTTCACGTCAGATGATATTCGATTGGGTCGCGGAGGAGCATATCACAGTATGTTTTCCGGATTCTGTTCTATGTTAGGTCTTTCGCTTTGATTTCCTGACTTCCAAACCATTAAGGCGGCTCAGTTAATAGCCAAAGTGAGGAGTGGGAGAACACAAATAGCGATATCTACAAGAATGAATCGTCAGGTGTCGACAGCAGGTATTTTTTAATTTTACTTCCGCTGAGGTGCCACTGACCACTGTTCATCTCTAGGGATGATTACTCATCGAAGGAAGTTAATTCCTTCCAGTTTCCCAATGAAACGAGGAGAGGGTCGACTTCACCTGAGCTAGGCTTTCGGCAAGAGGTACCCTGTTCCTTCTCAGCAGCTATCGCTCAGGCACGATGAGAGACGCTCACTGTTTTGAGCAGAAGTATTGATGTCTTATAATCGGTTTTTTTTGATGCCACATCTTGCACTTGAGGAGGACTTCGGGGATTTTGCATCGGCTCGGTTTGCTTCACAACCCACCACAGTTAGTCGTACGACAGGTTAGCCATCTATTTCGTGTGATCAAGCGGCTATCCAGAGTAGCGGTCAAAAATATGCGCGGTTTCGGCTTTTCAAGCATTACTCTTCTCTTCATCTCCGATTTCCAATACTTGCTGGAAATGAGCGCCCTTCTTTCAGTCAGCTTATTCTCTTTGTGTAAGCGGCTTGACGGAAGTAGAACGAACAACACCTTCACATAATATCCAGGAATTGCAGAATTCACGAAATTCGAGTAACTTCTCACAACTCAACGAACCAAGCAACATCTTACTTCAACCAGAGATCGCGCGAGTCATGAGGCGTACCTCAAAAACGGTTTGTTGAATGCGGTAGAGGTCGTTACATGGGCTGCACAGAACATAATTTTTGCTGTCTGTTTCCATGATTGCCAAAAAAAGAAGTGAAAACTTGTTAAGAAAGAGCGCTTCAGACCATCTTACTCGGCTGTTTTTCAAGTGTAGCTCTGAGTAAATACGGCTCGTGAGGTACCAGTTAACAGTATGTCGAAAACAGAGCAAAATATCTACAAGAACTGAATCCCCTACGTCTTATGCTTTGGAGAAACAGTGGATTTTTTTCAGCAATTACCGCGTCTTTCAGTTGATTTGAACGAATGGTGTGACGGATAACACGGTGGGCTCTCAATGGTAGGACGAAGGAAAGGCTTGCATCACTGCTCGAAGAAAACTTTTTGCCCTTCTCGATGTTTCCTCTTCCTGTATTCTTAATTAACAATGGATCCAACCAAGATCTGTGGGCACATTCTATCCTACTCTACGTAATTCGTCGAGTATGTGAGCGCATCTTCCCATCAGTCACAGCCTTCATACCGCGAGTCACAGTAACGAGGGGAAGTTGTTTCCAGTAGTGACGCCGGGGGGCCGGGTCAGGAAAAGTAAAATAAATTCTTGGGTTGTGCTGACCAGTTTCTGTTAGTATCAGCAAACTGAAATATTAGATTAGTTCATGTGAATTTGGTACGAGTTTTACTTAATATCTTTCAAACAAAGGACATTGAGCAGTGAAATTTTGCATGCGTCGCATATATTAGGTGTCCCATTGAAAAAAGTGAAGACATATGGAGGAATGGCAGGAAAGCAAAGCGGATAAGGCTGTGGGCTTGGAACCGTTGAAAGTTGGTTGCTTTAGCAAAGCGTCTGTGGAATTTGGTTGGGGTAGCTACGAGAGAAATTTCAGAGAAGAAAACAAACCCGAGTCATCAAAATCAGCGCTGGATTATGAAGTCGAGCGTCAAGGAAAGTGTGCGGCTGAAATTTATCCTGTGCCGGACTCATAGTGGCGTATAAGGGTGTTCTCTGAATGGAATGTCGAAGATTCGGTTCAGAAGTCCAAAGAAGGAAAAGCGAGAAAAAGTTATGGTCGAGGAGGGCCCGTACTGTATACAGAAAAGCGGGATTGTAAAGTCAAGCGCTCACATCTGTCCAGCGCAGAGACTGGACCACTGTCGAGCTTCCTTACGGGGCTGACATCCTTGCTGCAATCGTTGTCCGAGTTATGTCCGAAAAATTGAAAATAGTCTAAAGGACGTGTTTTTGGGTACTTCTTTTTTGTAGGCACGAACACAAAAGCTTTCGATGCCTGGAGCAGTGATGTTCTCCACATAGGACTTTATTCGCGACTATGAATACGCACCGTGGCCTTAGGCGAAATAGGGTGGTTTTGAACATCGGGCCAAAACTCACAAACGTCAGTATTTGTGAATGCGGAAGAAAAGCCGCCCGAATTGCGTCATCGGGAGTTACGAGGGCCTAAGCAGATAATCATTATGGCAATAGATTTCTGCACTGTAGCTTTCAAGCGGCTGCGTACAGAGGACAATACCATCACTGTCGGTGGTCGGTGTGTATTATCTGTTCCTCGACGGTCGGATCGACAGATGGATAGTATCGCACAACTACAGACGGCCTCCATTGCTATTCACAGTGCCAGACCCCGAATAACCGTAATATTGGGCAGTGCTTTCACACAAGCAATACTAACCAGGAAGGTCGTTCAGGGCGTGCTCCGCTTTTTCAAAAACGGTCTTTTGCATTTTGTAGGGGCTCGTACATAGACTACAAAAGTGGTGTTCATTTTTGCTGTGCGGCCACCGGTATGCCAAAAAAGGAGCAAAATACCTCTCCCAAGGAAGGGCCATTCAAACCACCAAAATGCAGCCCAGTCCGCTTGTAGCGTCGAATACACGTTGTATTGAGGGTGATCTTCTCTTGAATGCTGTAAACCACTTCAAATATGCCCATTTATGGAGCACGATTCCTTATGCATAGTGGGGAGTTCGCAGAAGGTTGTGGCAGTGTCGTCATAAGCAATGGACGCCACCTTTCCCTCGCGGTGGTCAAATGGCGCAGTGGATAGTGGATCGGGCTCTGGAACGTGGATGGTGGGTTCTTGGATCGGATCCCGACACTGACGATGTTTTTGCATTTGGTGGGACTTCGTCCATTAGCATTTCCAATTGTCTATAAATGGGTGCAAACCGCAAATATGCGACTTGGCACGTTCTGTCGCATTTCATGAGTTGCAAACGTATGATTTTTCATTCATTTATTACACACAAGTTCAGCAACTGTGATAAGTTTCTACGAAGCATGTGAAGCACAAGCGCTTGCCGCACCAACTACACTTGACAGAAGCCAAAAGTGTAGGTGTTGTTTCCTTGACACGGGACATGCTCGACAACTCATGAAATGCGACAGAACGTGCCAAATCGTATGTTTGCGGTTTTCACCCATTTACAGACAATTGGAAATGCTAAAGGACGAAGACCCAGCAAATGCAAAAATATCGCCGGTGTCGAGATCCGATCCAAGAACCCACCACGTTCCAGAGCCCGATCCACTATCCACTGCGCCATTTGACCACCATGAGGGGAAGGTGGCGTCCATTGCTTATGACACTGCCACAACCTTCTGCGAACTCCCCACTACGTATGAGGAATCGTGCTCTATAAATGGGCGTATTTGAAGTGGTTTACAACATTCAAGAGAAGATCAGGGAAGATTGTCGATAACAGCCGCATAGTTTTTTTTCTGTGATCGGAAGGCCATCGATGGTATAGAGGGCTCGTCCTTACGGAAAATTTAGTCGCATCAGATGTAGTAGTTTTGCAGTGAGCTGTTGTGTGGTAGCGGACCCGGGATCAGGAAATTCTAGAAGGTTTCCAGCAAAGGACAACAGTTCAAGGCGTGATACTAGTGAACGCCAAAGTAGGTGGGATGATTAGCTGCGGATGGAAGTTTGTTTACGAAATGGAGAAGGAATATAGCTGCTCGTACTTAGGGGATGCGAATTTGGCAGCTTGTGGCGGTCTCTTGTTTCTGAGCGTGTCCGTAGGCCGTATGTCGGGAGTTGAAAATGCACAGGTTTGATAAGTGATGCCCCCCTTGTGAAATTCTCGAAGAAGAGCGGCCTGATAATCGAGCCGTTGCAACGTCGCGATCGCGTTTTGGATATCTCTGCGGTGATCGCCGTGTGTGGAGGTATAATCGTGGAATATTGTCACTTCTTTGGTGGTCATGAGTGCGATTCACTGCTCGTTGAGGTTTCTAGCTTCGACAGCTTCGCAAGGATCGATTTGCAGTGCGTCGTTTTATGTTCGGCGTAGTCGAGCAGAACGTCGTTGGAGGCCGTTGAGAGAAGTTCCGCGTCGATGTTAAGGTATTCGTCGCACAGTTGGATTTCTCGAAGACGTTGATGAAAGCGCGGGTATATAGGACCTAAAGGTGTTGTTCTATAGCATTATAATGTAACTATTGTTGACTGATTCGCCGAACGGTATCGTACTGAATGGATGACTAGTCGCTACCGTAACCAATAAAGAAGAAATATAGAAGTATTCATCATTTTATTCTGTTTGTCGACATTTTCCGCGTCATGCATACCTAGTACCGCTGCTTCCAGGCATGACAAAATTACTATTGTTGCTTCACGTAGTGTTGTACCTTCATGAGGCATACATTTCCGATGTGTACGGGCCCACATCGCTTGTACAACCCTATTAGGTCTAAGAAAGTACGTTTCTGCCCTTGGCGCCTCTCTTTGGTTTCACGTGCATGCCCGTCGCGACTGAGAAGAAGCATAAGAGTTTAGTTGTGTTAGGGATGAAGTGGTGGATAGCTGTTCAAATTTGAATGTCAACGTGCTGATTAACTCGGAAGTAGAGAAAGACCATGCAGAATGCTCTGACCACGATTCAACGAGAGCGTCCACAGATGACCGAGAACGCACCGCTATACACCGACGCTAAAACGAAATCATAAATATGGAGCGGTGCGTGGGGTGGAGGGCTCATATAATTGCAGAGCCCTGGTGTTCTCACGCACACTCTTGTACGTTGTGCAAAGGGAAGCTTCAGTAGGTCGGTAACCGTGGAATCCTTCCTCGAGAGTAGAGATTCCCACGTGGGGCGTGGCTGAACGCTCGACAAGCCGTGATACTGACCACAAAAGTTATACTGTTGGTCGTTCCTACTCTCTTCCTGTCAGTGTGGTTTTCTATAACACTGCAGTGTTTGAGTGAGATTCTTACACCAATCCGGAAAAACCTGAATTCTACGGCAGTTTATTTGTGGATCCTGCTCTGGTTATGACCTTGTAAAGTATTAGCTTCAGTTGTTTATTTCGAGAGCGGCCATGATTTCTTGGATTTAAGTTGTCTCCCACTAACCAAAAGTCCGAAAACGAGCCAAAATCCACAATATGAATAACAGTGGTGCACCTCAGTTTTCGATCGCTTCTGAAAAAAAAATTCTGTTTGACCCACATCTGCTTTGATCTCGACAAACGCTGACGGCTGAATCCTTCTGGCGTTGTACACGCTCGCCTTCTATCGTACTA